TTTCCGTTGTTATCATTAATGTAAATATTTCTATTTTTGCTATCATTATTAACACACGTAATATTATTTTTTCTTATCATTATTATTTTTATTGTTTTAAACATTACTATCAATACTAGATTTATAATAAAACAATGATAATGATAATACTAATAATGGTAACCGTAATGTTGATGATATGATTATTATAACTATTATTATTATTCATAAAATATTAATGAAATTATCTTTATTATAATAATTTTTATTACTTTATCATCATTACTATTGACATTGATACCATTTCATCATTCTTGTTATCATGATTATTATCATCATTGTTATAAAGATTTATCATTATTGTCATAATTATCATTACTATCATAATCATTATTACTCTTATTATCATGCTCCTCATTATTATTACCTTTATTATAATTACTATCACCATAATAATTTTTATTTTGTTATTATTATTATCATTATTCCTACTACCACATTTTTCGCAATTATTATCATTATTATTATTGTTGTTATTATCATCGATATCATTTTACTATCATCATAGTTTTGATTTTTATCATAATCATCACCAACTTCATTAGGTATGAAAAGTTAGAATTACAAAATTGTGGTCATATATAAGCGATATCAGAAATACTAACACTATGATTTATGACCATATATGCAATTTTGCTCTTCATTATACCCATCAACAATATCACAGTCGCTTGAAAGGACTACTCATTATACATTCAAAGGATATAAGTGACTGGCCTTGTCATCATATTAATAAATGACGATAATAACCATAATATTGATAATGATAATAGTGTTACTACTACTAATAACAACGGTAAAATAAAAATAATGATAAAGATTATCATATCAATAACGGTAATAACAAGATTTATGATTGCAATAATAATAATAGTGATAACAGTGGTAATATCGATGTTTAGTAAAATACTAACAACAAATACTACTACTTGTACCAATATTAGCATCAGCTATAATATAACACATCTGAGAATAATGACAGCCACTGATACGTCAGACAAGTAAACTTTCTCTCACGTTCACCGGATACTGAACGAGATTTTCGAGTGGACGTTTTACTGCGACAGATTAAGGAAACGCTACATACTGTTGAACATATTCGTCATGCTTTCGTTTTGCTTCCAAGAAATCTTAATAATATTCTATAAATATACTATTACGTATAGCGTGGACCTTTAAAACGTAGGACTGAGGACACTATATTCAGTATGATATATTATCCACGTTTTTGTTTTTCTTCCAAGAAATTTCAAACGTATTATTCAATATTTTTTCCCTTTTCATATATATATATATATATATATATATATATATATATATATATATATATATATATATATATATATATATATGTTTTTGCTATTGTGAGGAATGTGGCAAGGTTATAAGTGTGTTGTGACTATTGTTGTTGCCACAATGGTATTGTGATGATGCATTTTTGGTTGTGGTAACTGTCATTGGAGAGGATTCTTATTGTTATTGTTGGTATCATTGACTTTTCATGACTATTAATGGTATCATCATCATTATTATTGTTGTTAGTATCATTGCCATAATCATTATTATCATCATTTTCATTATCATTACTATATAACGATATGTATCGCCACAGAGGCCGGTTATGTAAGGCTAATCCATGAACTTCTCACGATCTCCAATATCTAGTGCAATGATTTATAGTATACATACACATTTTTTTTTTTATTCATTATTTTTCTAAGAACAGCCATCAAAACAGCTGGCAAATGATTGATTAATTTATGATATGGAGTTCGACACCGGTACTGTTTGTTACAAAGGCTCAAAAGGATTCGACTACAGAACACTAGGAAGAGGTAAACATATCGAAAACCTTGCTGATTATAAATATATTCAGTGTGATTATATTATGATACAACAACAAGGCAATTATTATGTAACTATTGACACATTGTTTCCAAAATATCTAATACGATAACATCCCTGCGTTCACTTGAGCATTTCTGCTCGGTGCGCTTCAGGGTAAACGCACCTATCAGCTTATTAATGTAAACAAACTCCTTCGACGCCGAACACCGCAGACTCGTCGGGAGAGAGATTATTTACTTTCCTAATTAAGAATGTAATGAAAGTACATACTGATGCACACGATTTCTATAACGCACATTTTAGTGAGTATCAAAGATAGAAAGGTAAAATGAAACAGCTATGCTTTTGTGCCTCTTAGTTGGTTATTCATAAACGGGCCGCGAGGCGAAACGAACAACCTCCAACCTTCGCCCTGTTCGCCACGCAACGCTTCGCGAAACGTTCTGTCAGGTCGACCGTTCACTCGATTTTGCCGCGCAACGCAAGGTGCGTTTAGTTAAGCAGGATATGTCTACAGTCAAGAAGTTCGAAAATTTGTCCAGGGACCGGATTCACTAACGCACTTATTATGATGGTAAAATCACTGGTAACTATAGTTACCATGGTAAATAGGCAGGAATGGTAGTCACTAACAACTTGCACTCGGAGTTACCATGGTAAATTTTACCAGTGGTCGGAGCACTTGTAAGTACTGGGAAGACGATGCCATCACGTGTTATCTCGTCAAAAAAAAAAAAAAAAAAAAAAAAAAAAACATATCTAAGCAAAGTTTTTGTTTGTTTTTCTGCCTGATATAATAGTCAGAGAGCCCAGAGAGATTTACTCAACATGGCAAGTCCAAACGGTTTGACACCTGGGTTGAACACCTAAGGCGCCATGGATCCCTAAACGGCCATTCTCAAGTGCTGCAATTGTGGTATCCGCGGGGGGTCGCTTCACAAGCTACCCCCCAAAATAGTTTATCAGCATACTCGAGTACATCTTCCAAATCTATGCTAGATTAATCTTCATTGGGGTCTGATTAAGGATCCGTCATTCTTAAGTGAACACGTTGTGGATTTGGCCACTTAAGAACGACCTAATGAATGCTGATTAACACTTTTAATCGGCATATTGAGTACATCAGTGAAACCTTTACATAATATACTTTATGACATGCTGATATCATATTGGTAATTCTTAAGTGTCGGTTTTGTGGACAAAGCCACTTAAGAGGTCAAATGTCGTGACCCGCCTAATTACCTTTAAAATGACTGCTACTCCCTTACTTTTTTGGGGTACTGGGTCAAGATTGGACTTCAAATGTAGATTTTAATGGGATGAATAAGGATCACTTATTTCATAATCCATTCTCGGGTACCGTTATTACACAAAACAAAACAAAAAAAGATGAAAAATGGGTACCCTTTTTACTCCCACTGGCTTTAAAGTTTTATCAGCATGGTTGAGCACATCCATGAAACCTATACGAAAATGTTCCTCTACCAACACATAATAAGAATCAATCATTCTTAAGTGTCAAAATTTTGGACAAATGCACTTAAGAACGACGGACAGGTCAAAGTGCACTCGTTGACCCAACCAAAGGTTTTAATCGTCATGCGGAGTACATCAATAAAACTTGCAGGATATGTTCCCCGAGACATCCTGACATCATCCAAGCCTTTCTTAAGTATCTCCATGCTGAATATGGCAACTTAAGAACACTTTGAATCGGGCATTGTAGTGACCCCCAATTGTAAAGTATCATTTGACATGCCTGTGTGGCGGTAATAACCAATAACGAAATGGAAATAAACAAATGTTATTTAATACAAAAATATATATGAAAACACACTATAATGGTACATAAAAAATGAAATGTAATAGATTTCATACTGAACTGTGGTACTAACGATGATTATTGACTGTACGCAGATAATCACAACTTAAAACTTGGAAGGAATCATGGCAAAGTATTAGTGCTCCATGTTAGTTAAAAACATATGAAATGTTTTTGCTGCTCACATGGTCTGTACGTAGATAATCACAACTTAAAACTTAGATGGATTCATGGAAAATATTAGCACTCCATGTTAGTTAATCAGTTATACCTTTGAAATGTTTTTGCTGCTCACATGGTCTATTTGGGTTTGATATGCCGTTTTGTATTGGTTTACGTATAATTACACGCTGGAAAAAACTAGGGGTTAAATTGAGACGATGATGCATTTTTTCAACTGTATTTCTCATCGTCCGACAGCTCATTTTCTTCGTCCGAGGATGCTGCCTCCATCTTTTCCTAATCTTCATCACCGTAGTCATTCATTTCACCTTCGTCTGGGACAAGGGAGTCGGGTAGCTGAGGGCCATCAAACCATACAGGTACGAACTCCCATCCATCGCTTTTCTTCGGGTGCTGAACAATCTCCTGTCTATTGGCCTTTGACCACATCTTGGCAACAAACGATGCTCTCTGAATGTGAGTGATAACTTCTGCTTCAGAAGGTGGTATCAAACTTCCATCCAGGCCTGGCTTTAGGTAAGCACTTTCCTTCGCTCCGTAGATCATTCCTATATATCTAAACAAGACATCCCGCTGTTTATATGGCAGTGTGTCCAGTTTCGTCATCTCAGCGAATGCCTTCTGTGTGTCTGAGCTCTTCTCCAATCTTGCAAATGGATGTACTTTCCCTTTGCAGACGAAAGCTGACGTATCGTCCGAGCCAGTAAAGGCGTGAAAGCCGGGGAGCGCTGCACATAATTCCTTCCCGAGTGACACTGATATTGCTGAAATATCAAAGAATCTGCGGCTATTCCTGGCAGCCATGCCTGCATCCCATCCACGGTTTGACACTGAATGTATGGACATGATGAATCAAGATCACTGCTATATCTGCGTCTGAGGCTCGTACAACAATGTTCCCTCCAGTTGTGTCAGCAGCCTGGGCATAGATGGTGATTTTGGTGTCCGCCTCTTCGTGCCAAACTGTGGATGGTAAACAGATATCACAATACGGACATGGCGAGGAGATGCAAATTTCACATGAAACTAGCAAGAATAAAACCCACTCGAATTTTCGTAAAATTATAGGCCTATATCATACTAGAATGCAAGGAATCGATAGATAAGT